AAAAGCCTGTCAGGCAAATAGCTGTGGCCAAGCCCTCTCTCAAACACAGGGTGCTGCTGTTGACAAAGAGCACAAATTTATACCAGTTGCATCCAAGTCTTGAAACAATAGTTTACACAGTATTTTTCTTTTCAAAAGAACTTGTCATTTCCAATTATTTTGCATTTTTTTCATCTCTTCTTCATCATTATCTTTGGAAAGAACAATTTACAGCCAAGATGGAAGTAAGAGGGGAAGTGGAGTTGTCATGTCAGAACATGACCTGCTGCCAGGCTGTACATTATGTGCAATAGGATTTGGGAGACCAGTCACAAAGTGGTGGTGTCTAGAGTTCCAGCTTAATCATTTGAAGGCATGCCCTTGCAGAGATGGTCATCGTTCCTCAGTACAACCCCATCTTTTACCTAGCTACTACTGCAATTGTTGGCAGGGACAAGCTGCACGTTGGTTTGCATTTTCCATTTGTATCTTCAGTGCAATGGGGCAAATTAGGTCTGCTGAATGGAGCTGCAAAAGCCCCATTTGATTTCTAGGTGTAAAGATAGCTTTCAGCTTTTCGTTAAAGCATGCACCCTTCCAGGCCAGTGAGGTAGTTTATCTCACAGTTACATGGATTGCAAAGGACATAGGGCATGGTTAACAGGACAGAACTGGAGAAAACTCTTTATCATTCCTCCAGCTGGGTGCAGAAGGGACTGGAGGAGAGACTGGAGAGCAGCTCTTATCCAGTCATCCTGCTTTCTATCAGCATGGTGAAAACCTGTCTGTAGAAGTACAAAGCTGCTACAGGAAATCAAAGAGAGAAGAAATAAAGGGCTCTATCTTAGGAGCCTGCCTGGCATTTCAATTACTTGTGGCTTAGATGATTCAGCAACGAGAACTCTCCTGATCCTGGTAAGGGCAATACATTTCTGTGAGCTGATGGGGAAAGATGCTTTCCTTATAGCAAGCCAACAGGACTCTGGAACCCCACTGGAAAGGTATGGAGACTATAGTAGGGTCAGCATATGAATGTGCTTGGTAAAGCTAGCTATCATTAGTGGGCTCTTGCGTGCTTGTTAACACCTAAATTAGGGGAAAAAATGGAAAGTCATCCAAGAGTGTTTTCTGCTAGAGGGAAGAACACATTTACAGTATGCTCAACTTCACTGAAGATTAGTTGTGTAAGTCCCCCATGTATATATTAGAAGAGCATGCTTTTGACAAGCACATAGATACATGGGTGATGTGAAGTACAAAGGCTTCGGTTTACAGGAGAGGAGAAAGCTAACTAAAAAAGTTTTGCTCCCCTTAAGGCTGGCTAGAAATTTCAAACATGTATGAAGCTTAAAAGCTTCCAATGACCTTGATGAACTCACCTGGTTTCAAACACCAGGGAGATAGGTGTGCACAATTTTGATGAAGGAACATATAAAAAGTGCATTTCCAAAATTATTAAATAAGCAAGCCCTGTCAACCGGCATAATTTTGCTCTGCAGGCTGTGCTAACTTCTTTTAGTTGCAGTGATATAAATCTAGAGAAATGCCTCAGGTTTCACTAGAACTATTACTATTCTGGATTTATCTAGCTGTCAGGAAGAATTTTTCCCCTCCTAGTAGTAGAAACTTTAGGGAGGGACTTAGAAAACAAGTGGAATACTGAAATGGCCTTGCTGACTCTCAGCTTAGTCCCTTTGTTTTCAGATACTGCAATCTTACAAGAAAATCTATAAATCCCTCAAAAATTCCTTATACTCTTCTTCTGCACTTGGAAAGGTTGATGGTCAAAAAAACTAAAAGAAGTGAAAGAATATCATTAAAACATATGCATCAAAAAGGAAAACCTCAGTAGTTAATACTTTCTTGTTGATACTATTTTTATAACAAAAAGGCAAACTTCTATAGTGGGTTTTGTGCGATTTCCCTAGCAGATACTTGAATCTCACAAAGAACTGAAGTGCCATAAATTCTCTTTTAGGTTTTATAGGCATAGTTCTGTGTTATACAGAATATATTTTGCTAAAGCATTGGGTCTTTAAAGCACTTCTTGCTCATACAAAAGCGGTACTCATCTTGCTAGCATCTTTTAAGAATAAAAGCTATAGAAAGCTGATTCGAGGATAGATCCAACAGAGTTTAAATTCCACTGATCCCAGGAGATTGTTTCCAACAACAAGTAATTTCCAAGACAAGTTTTTAATGCTAACCTCTTCAAAGAATGAAACATAAGAACTGAAAGAAGATGGCAATAATTAATGAAATCACTTAAGCAAAAAAAACCTTCAAACATTCCCCTTTGCTCCAGAACTACACAAGTAACTCCAAAGTTATGTTTGCTGTAAACGCCTTTCTGTTACAACCTATTCTCTTTAGAACTCAGACGAAGACTTCTCAGGGGCTCCTACTTTTTACATCAGCTTCAGGTCTAAGGTTTTTTTCCTTGTTATTCGCACTTGTTAAATCTTGCTTAAACCAACAGAAATTAGAAGGGCACAGTGTGAGTGCCAGTGAGTATACTGAGAGAGGAGGCTGCCTCTCCAAGCCAAATGCACTTAACTTCCCTGAGATATTCTTGGTTTTTCCTACTCTAAGAATGTTTTCCAGGTAGGGAATATACATTTAGGCAGATGCTTACTTCCAGAGCTGAAAATATTTTGATGTTCCTTGAATAATGGTGCTTAAAGGAATACACCCGTTTGTCAGATGTTGCGTAAATATTCAAATTGTTAATTTTCAGTTGGTAAAATGCAGTCTGACTTAAGGTATAAAGCATTCTCCTGGAGTACTTATTACAGAACCACAAAGAGGTATGAAGGTAAAGCCTAAGGCTGTAAACCCGACGTTAAAATTTCCACTTAGAAATCAATAATCACTGCAAAACAGCCTCCTCTGTTTTGTGAATGCCACAACACTTCCTCTGGCATGAATTGTACATAAAGTTCAGTAAAATCTGAAGAGCATTACGAAACTTGTATATATATGTACCTGATGGCCACTTCTCAAAACTGTCACACCCATGGAGTGCTGCTGTTGGGCATAGCACTGCTGAAGAAAGCACACTCTTGACTCCGTAAGGCGCTACAGAAGCCCTGGAATAAAATGAGCTGAGCTGCTTTGACTCATTTATGAGGAATATGTTAAGCAGGTGCAACCTTTCTCTGCCCATGCCCTGAGCCAACCAACAGCCAAGTGACTGAACTGGTATGCCAAGTGCCAGAAGATAGCTTCAGATAAACCCAAAGGACTATGGCGCAGAAGGCAGAACCACAGAAGAGCCACCTATCCTCATGTTAGAGATATCTTCACAAGATGAGTTCAGGAAGCATCTAGAAATTTCTACCCTGACAGCATCGCCTGTATTTATCTCCAAAAGTGGAGTAACTGGATGCCCGAACAGTAATTCAGCTGAGATGACTAAAGGTTGCACACATCTTTCAGGAGCTCAGATCCCAGACCTGTCTGACCACTGCATAGAAGATACCACATCACCTCTCTCAGACCTCTGTTTCCAGTTTCAGTTTGTTTTCATAGTGCATGTAATAACCCTGATGTGCTGCAGAACGGAATTCCATAGGGATATGTATTATCTATTGTTTTAGAAAAGCCGAGCAATTTTTCTTTTCCCAAGTTCAGAAATCACTCTCATTCTCCTCCAAACATTCAAATCTCTTTTCATTGTTTGTTCCTATCTTGCTGTGCTTGGCCTCTGGCCAGAATCCTTTTCTCTGCCTTGAAGGAGGGCAACAGCAGGCCTTTGAAGAAATGCCAAAGCTGCTGTTTGGCTGACCAGCAGGGAGCTCTCCAGCACAACACTCCCTGGCCTCTCCCAGTCTGCTCTCCTTTCCCAGAAACATGCAGTCCTGCAGCTAGCAGGGACTGAGCTGGTCACAAATCCCGGAAGAAGAGATTCTTAAGCAATGGATAAAGTTTAAGCAAGCACAGAGAACACTAGACCTGGAAGAGACATCAGAAGATCATCTAAGCCCATCTGTCTGCTTCAAGGCAGATCCAGCTGTACCTACAAGATATCGCTGACAGATATTTGTCCAACTGGTTCCTACCAGTCCAGTCTCCACTCACATTTCTGCAGGCAATCCATTCCAATACATCACTTACCATCAGCAAGTTTTGCTAAAACTAATCTCTCTTTCTCTAATGTAATCCCATTGCTTCTTATCTGAATACGCATACGGAGAACCCATCCATTAAACAGTTTGTTTTCTAATAGCACTTTAAAATGTAGAGAAGCAGGCTGTAATTAGTTATCCTGGTCATGACACATCCTAAAAAAGTGACTGTACCTTTCATGTCTACAAAACATCAGGCCTCTCCATTGACACAGGGGCTTTATCTTCAAAAAAGTAACCATTTGGCACCGACTCACAGAGAAGAAGATCAACCACTGATTTGCTGCCATTATTCCCCATATTTGCTTGCATCTTTCCTTGGAAGATATCCCTCCAGTCACTGAACAGCCCTAACCCCAGTCAGCTAACAGACTCGATTTGCTCACGTGCTAATACTACTTCACACTTGTAATGAATGGTGAAATGCAGAAGTTTGCACAAAACTGAAAACCCTCTCTGCACAAGACAAAGGCTTTACAGAGAATCTAATAATGTATTTCCTCTATTATTTTATTTCCTACTTATTCATCTTAGACTTGCCCCTAGGACCTTGCCCATTCCCTATTATGACTATGATATTCAGTTGGCAAGATGAGAGAAACTGAAATTCTGATTCAACACTGGTAGTGCCATTTATTAAAAAAAAAAAATTAACAACGAGTTGCTTATGGCATTTCTGTCTCTCACACTGGTAACGTAGAAATAGAAAAGTACAATGGTACATGTTTCGCTCTGATAACAAGTTTAATTGTTTCAGCTTAAGGGTGATGACTGCAAGGAGATTTGACAGGTCTCGAAAAGGTTTTTCTTCCTTAAACGTTCCTGAGACACAGAACAAAACCTAAGAATTCTCCACGATCAGCTATAGCTTGCCAACGTTTACCTTGCACTTACCCAGTAGAGGGGTTCATGATGCAACCCCCTTTCTCTGTAGATGCTTTGCAGTTGCAGCCCCTCTCCAATGTATCATGATTCATTCCAAAATTGTGACCCAGTTCATGAGCCAGGGTAACTGCTGCACCTAGAGGGTTTTCCGAATGATCCTTAAAAAAATAAAAAAATAATGAAGTCAACTTACAAAAATAGTTGAAAATACACATTGCCCTTCTAAGCTCCCATTGCCTATCCTTCAAAATACTTAATAAACTTACCAGCTGTGGTTATATTGTTGATAAATGCACAAAACTTTAAATTCATTAAATTAAATGATTTTAAAATTAATGTATACTAGGTACAGACTGGGGAATTTCAAAGCAGTCTGTCAGTCCTGGCCACCTTGTTCCCCTATGACCTTAGTCATTTGAGACCATTGGGCAGCCTTGAACACCCTGGCCATCTTTTTATTTAGGGCTTGAAATTGTCCACAGCTGCTGCTTTTCCCCCGCCCAGTGACACCCCAAAATTCAGGAGACATGGCAGTAGCTGAAAACAGTAGCCAATGTGGGGAGTGTTGGGAAGGGTAAGAAGGGTTCCCTTCTCTCTTGGAGAGGATGAGTGAGATGGGGGAAAAGTGAAAGAGAAGATCCTTCATGTTAGGAAGTAAATTACAAATGAAGCAAGAGACTTCACTTGGTCAATTTAACCCTCATCGGACTGTTCCTTTAATATTCAGAAAGTCCAAGAAGAATTGATAATGCTTGTGTGAAAAGCCAAGGACCTTTGAGAATCTCATTCTTAAAATGAAAAGACAAAGCACGACGAAATCCCAGATAGCCTCTCATTAATGCCTAGGAGTATTCTAAATGTTGCAAATGTTCAAATTGAAATATTAACAGTAATCCTTGTTGAAATGCTGGTTTTTGGACAAATATTTCTGAGAAATTCACTGCATGGTTTGATTACAGACTGCTGATCGGACTGAAGTTTTGGCCTGACCACAAGTAAGAGGTTTCCACATTGTTCACTCTCCTTAAGGGAAAAAATTCCCACTGCATTCATATAAAAGCTTCCCCAAAAGGCATCACCATGAAATATAAATGCACGATCCACTATTTATCAGTCAGCAAATGGAATTACTATGTACAGCTGCCTCCTCTAAAAGCATATATGAATACAGTCAGCTTAAATAAATCCTCTAATATCATCTAAGCCAATCTTCATACTAAACAGAAGAGAAAGGTAAAACCATCTGAAACATTAGCTATATATAAATTAAACCCTTAACACATGCTTTGGTTTAGATTTAAGAGTTTCTTCTTTCAGCTAGCTGTGCTAATATTTTTAGTAAACCAATTCTCAAATAGAAAACAAAAGCAAAAAGAAAATAGAGTCAAATTCTGAAAATAAGAAACTGTTCTGTCTGTATTTGGAATGAACTCAAAATGGTTTTATCTTTTAACATAGGATTTTTTTTAGGTTTTTCCTGAATTTAATTAAAAACAAGTTTTGACTAATACAATGGCCATTTTGTTTGTGTGCAGAGTTATATTTTAAGATGCTTGTTTGATAATAGAAGCTGTACAACTCGTCTTAGTAAAAAAACCTAACAGAATAAACACATGCAGCAAAATAAGCTGTAATAAACCCGAAAATATACATTCCTGCATGATGCCTACCTATGGAGATGTCTCATCTAGATACTAGTCTCATACAGATTGATTTACCAGCATCTTTCTGCTTATGGTAATTTATTAAATATTTAAAGAATTCAGTGTAATTGAACCAGATGTCATAAAAAGAGTGCTACCTCTCGCTCAACTGGGAAACAACCCAGGACTGAGTATTAAGAAAGCAATGATACAATGTCCACCTAATTTACCAGAGAAGCACAGGAGTGGTGCCTTTAAATTAGGGCTCTGTGGTCAAGAAATCCTTCTAAAACTTCAACCATCTAGACAGACAACAAACTGAGTTCAGTTTTTCTTCATCTTGCCAGTCACTTTTCTGCTTACTGCACAGATTCTATTTATCTGAACACCTCCAAAGCTGGCAATTAAAAACGAAAAAAAGAATTCACACAGTCCACTCTAGAATTAGAGCAATAAATGATCTGAAGTGTAATTTGTGTCTTGAATAGGCAAACAATTATTACAACACACGTGGTTCTCATTACTTGCTCACATCCACTTGGAATGCTATTTTATCAGTTTCTAGAGTGGGTTTTTAAAGCAAGGAATGTGATGTCTCAGCAAAAGAGCTTATTTGAAGAGAGCATAAATGAAGACTATCAAAACAAACAGTAACATGTCCCATTTGATATTGAGACTACTTAAGTACTACAAGTACTAACGAAATGAATAGCAATATGACTTTGATTGATTCCACTAAGGTCTTTCAAAGTTAACTTGAGTAGTAAAAGTCATTACCAACAGTTTCACAGCCATTGAGTAGGCAGCCATTGACTGTTAAGACATCCTAAGCTGCTGCACAAAACACGCAGCTGCTTTCAATGGAAGCCTGCTTCATTCCACGGAGATTCAGTTCGGACCTTAAAAATCAAATACTGTCACCTGCAGCTAGAACAGACTAACGCCCCGATCCTGGAACTTCACATGCAGCTTCACTCAGTTGTAGCAATCCAACTTTTCTAAAATCCACTTCTATTTAATTTAAGCAATACACTGAAACGTAAGCACCTCATTCCCAACCCTTGTCATTTAGCCTAGCGTCCGGCTAACGTCAACAGGAAATCCACACGAATGAGAATGCTGCACTGCCTCACAGCAAATCAACAATATTTTGCTTCTAAATCCATGAATTCAGTGGGAAATCTTTTGAAATAGAAGAATGAAGGCTGAAGCATATTTCAAAGACGTGTTTTAATGTTAACATTTGTTTTTTCTACATACAACAGCAGAGCCATCACAGTAAAGCAAAAATGATAAAAAGAGACGTAAACTTCTCGTATACGGAGACCACTCTCTGCACCTGGAGTTCCTGTTGGTACTAGTGGGAGAAAGGGGTCTCCTACCCCACTGAGAAAATCCAGCCCTGGAGAAAAACAGGCAGGGGGCAGGCCTTCAGAGAGGCATGATGGAAGAATTTAGATATAATAGATCTGAGTAACTACAAAAATAGTCAGGAAAATCAGATCATACAAGGATGACTCTTCCCAATTTTACATTCAAAAGTTATTTCTCATGCAATTATTCCATTGCTTCTACATTCAGGACTGAAAGTGTGGGAGTTCTTTGGGAAGGAGTGTTTGGCATGGGATGGGTAAAATGTAGGTCAAATTATAAGGAAGGCTAAATGTTCAGTCGCCCAGTGCTGAGATGTCCAAACACCATAACCTCCCAGGTTAAACTTATTCACTATTTCATTTGTACATCTTCCAATTTTAAGGCTTTCTTCTTCGGTATGTACAGGTTTGTATCAAGACTCTTTTATAGATACCTCAGTTAGCCTTTGCTAATTGGTGAGGGAGAGGTTGGCCAGCTGCGTATTTGGGTTTTGGGGTGTTTGTTTGGGTTTGGTTCTTTTTGAGGATTTGGCTAAAGAACTAGAAAGCATTTCTGGTTATATTGAGCAAGTCTTAAGTTAATTTGCACTTCAAAAGTTTCTGTTCACTGAGGTGGGAGTCTCTGAGAAACAAGTCGCTTCCCCGAATGACTAAAGCTGCCGTCTGGCCCCCGATTCTCTACATACTCGTTGGATTTCTCATGGACCTATAAACCAGTTTCTCCTCCATCAGAGCCCTGAAAGCACTTCAAAGAAATCCTGATTCTTGTTTTCTTGTTACTGGAATGAAATAGCTTTTGTTGTTTGTGTAAAGGGGTCAGCTTCCAGAGCGAAGAGGACTGCCTTTGCAGTGAAATACACTGTAACACATTTTAAAGGTTAGGGTCTAAATTAAAAGGACAAAAAAATCATAATTAAGGGCATCCCTGACTGCTGATGAAGCCGAAGCAAGGACTGATGCCTTGATGGAGAGATGGATAAAATGGGGGCTGTCTGCCTGATATATGCCTTTGTCAAGATTCAGAACTGCACTAGGAGACTCCTAACAGTTTTTCCTTCCTCTTTTACTTCCTTTCTTCCTTTCTTTTTGCACCTATCCCCCAGGTACTTAGCAAAAAGGAAAAAAAAAAAAAAAAAAAAAATGAGGCCTCTGTATTTTCCAATTTTTTTTTCTCTTTCCCACATGTTTTCTACATCACAGCTTCCCAGCTCACCTGGTAAGCTCTTCCAGGCTGGATCTATCCATCATCTTCCACAAATGCATACACCATCTTTGGCTTCTTGCCAACTTGTCTGAGAGACCATGGGGTAGCCCTGCATTGTGGAAGAACCTCAGCATGCACGCTAGTTAAGAAGGAAAGAAATACGAGGGCTTCGAATGGCAGTATCTCTGGATTTACTCTGCTATGAGGATTATCCTGGGGCAAAAACCTTATTGCCCTGGGCTCCAGGTTAGCACCATGATGTTTTGAAGAGCTGGGAGCTTTGAAATCAGACAGCATGCAAGCTCAAAGAGCGTTGTGCATTCCTGAGCCCCTGAACTCGTCTGTAAAGGGATGTCACGCTGAGGTGTGCAGCAGAGCTGGAGAGAATCACCAAATCAGCTAAGGCGGATAAAGTCTAGACAGAAGTGTAGAAAACACAGGTTTGCTGAAAACCAGGTGCCATCCTGTGAACTCAGAAATAGAGAATATCCAAGACTTTCTTCAGGCTTCCTGGCTTTGTGCTCTGAAGCTGAGAGCCATGGCTACCAAGTTCTGAAGTCACCAGCTTAGCATGTTAGCAGCCTAAGAGCTCTGGGACACCACACTTAAAGCATTTGAACTGGAAAGCTCAGTTAATTCAAAACTTCTTCCCCTCATCTTCCTTGCACAAAACACTGTCCAAAATTCAGAAACTGTATACATTTTTTCAACAATAAAGCACTTCAGAACTAGTACCAGAGATTGGCTAAGATGCTTACTTGTTTGTTCATTGGGTCTAGGATCTAACAACAGCATTAACAGTAATACTCTTTGAGAGATGCAGGTAGAACAAATGCTGCCACTGTTTGTGCTTGTTTCCTGGCAATATAACAAAACCACTCTGTTGCACAGACAGAAGATAAGGCCTTACTTAGGAAACTGTAAATGCAGAACAAAAATCAATATAATAAGACATTCAGAACAGACTGATGTTGCATGTTACACTAGTGTACAGAGGTGCATAACTAATACATGGGTCTCACTTTTCACAGCACCTCTACACCTGATTTATTGATAACTAGTAGTTTCATTCACTTTCAGGATTCTTGCAGATAGGGCATGCTATATTTTTATGCACGATTTTGTTTTGTTCACTATGGAAACTATGCTTTAAAACATTTGGAAGCAAGCGGCATGTAGATATAAGGTAAAGTTGAGATTGAAAATGGGACAGAAGAGGCTGATGTTCTGGTACAGAATTCAGTATTACAGCCCTCGAGAACATGTTGAATCAGTTGGCCAGTTTCTACTTTTGCGCTTTTAACACTTACCATGACAACCCCGCCAGACTGCTCTGCAGTGCACATGCTCATTATGGGCGCCATGCCAATGGTAGTTCCTTGGAAGTACACCCCACTGCAGGAGGGCAGTAAAGGAAAAGAACCACAGAATCACCATTTAATGCCAAGAGAGAGCCCTACTATTTTCAGTCTTGTATTTTTGCCAACCTCAAACAAAGATCCCATTTCAAATGTGTCAGCTCCAGACATTTGCAAGTTGAAAACAATGAAAAGCATGGATTAGTCATGCAGACTTGCCAAAGTGACAATGATAGCATCCCTGCTACTTGAAAGATGCACTTGATCACCATCCTTCAGATTTACTGCTGTAACAAGACTCTTTTTTCCTTTCTTTTTTCCCTGACTGAAGTTGGGAATACAAATACAAACATAAAAAATGTCTCTAGCTCAATGAAGGATTATTTTAATGCAGTGGAAAGTCTATATGCTACTTATTATAATACTTTGTCTACAATAAAATGATTCTAAACAAAGTGTTATTAGACATGCAGTCATCAAATATCTGGGGACAGACGATATGGAAGGGCTCATTCTGTTACACAGATAATGTAAGAATATCTGTGCTATGAGCAAAGAGAGCATCTTTCAATTACTAATACATAAAGTATGTTTATTTGTATAGTATAAAGAAAGGTTCATTGATCATAATGATATCTGGTTCAAGAAAGAGGCGTTTCTCTTATTTGTGTTTTTCAACACATTTTTCAACACATTTCAGCACATTTTTCAACACATTTCAGCACATGATATCTGGTTCAAGAAAGAGGTGTTTCTCTTATTTGTGGTTTTTTAAGAGTCCTCTTAGCTTGAGCGTGTTTACTCAATTATTTTAATCCAGGAAACAGTAATAGGGTGAAAGATATATAAAATTCAAACTTTAATTACAAATACAAATGAACAGTCTAATTTAGACTCCAATTTAAAGTTCACTGAGGTCTTCATACTAACTGATTGGCTTCAGGGGGGAGCTTCTACTTTAGGGGGGAGGCCAGGACTGCCTCTTCCAGTAATAGTATAAATTTAGACTAGCTTAAATTGGCTGAGAATTCATACCCATATTTATCAGCTTATAACCCATCCACAACTCTATGCGGCTTGCATACAGGAAAGGCCCACAAGTAACTGGGCTATTGCAGAGCCGTGAAAGGAAATTCATCTGTACCATCCGCCCACACTGCTGAAGGGCTCTGCAAACTCTTACGTTTGCAGAGTGGAAAGACAAAGCAGTGCCTTCAAGCCTCAGGGGCGCAGACGTTAACCACAACAGCTTAACAACTGAACAAGAATTCAGTACAGCTGTTCTCCAATCACTGAAATCCCATCCAGTAATAAATATACGGCCAACTATACCTTATTAGCTGTGCATTGTCGTGGGGTTTACGAGGTAGTAGTTTTAGCTTTCTCCAGTCCAGAAACTCATGGAGGCTAGTGAAAGGGTCTTGAGAAATAGAGCACTTATCCATGTCGTTCCATACTTCCACGCCGACCAGGGCTACTCGAATATTTAGTGGCCTATAGAACTAGTGAGAAAAAAATACATGCTAAGACCTGTTTTAGAACACATTAGATCAGAAAAGGTCAACAGAGGCATAATGTGCATATCAACCTCTTCTGCAGAGGCCTAACGGTCCCTTTAAAGGGCTACCTCTTCTAGGGCAAAAATGAGCACCTTATAGGACTGGACTTGGACAATCTATGACCTATGATGTAGAGAAAACACTGGTTAAGTTCTGGCCTAACTAAACACCATAAGGCATTATAGACATGTGACTTCTCTATGTCTCATCTAGGCTTGATATCTTTCTTCAAGATGAAAAGTTGCAACAGCCTTAACATGCCCTCCACTTTCTTACAAGTGGAGGAACTTATTGCTATTGCAGATAGCAATGAATCACTCCACAATTTCCGTCTGTCACTAGCACCACTACAAGTCAAGAGGTAGAAGCAGCTGTATTACTGTATTGTGCTGCAGTTGTGGTTCAGAATAGTTGCTGAAAATTAAATCAGAGTCACTGAGTCTTGCTCAAAGCATATTTAAAACAAGTAATCATAGAACTGTTGGCTACATAGGCTGTTATCACCTTAGTAAATGCCACAGTTGCTACAAGAGGGGAGCTGGAGCAGCGTTAACAACGGAGCAGTGATAACAATTTTAAGCTATGATTAATGTAAAGAAGGACTCAAGAATCAATCAAGTACTGATTTGGCTGATAGTCCAAGAAAAGCATATATCAGATCTTTGTCTTGTCTATATGCATTACAGTCATTTGGATAATACTGCCATGTACTGAGCATAAATTGAGCATAAAATATAAATATATCATAACATGCAAAATTAATTTTGAACAGGTAACATATAAACACTTTCCCTCCAGTAATAAGTCAGCAATACAATTACAGAAGTGGTGGAGGGCTATTCAGCGTCCTGTTTTTAATCAAGAATGCTTCTCCTTGAGTTACTGTCCTTGAAGCATCAACGGGTAAGTTCTCAGTCAAATTAGAACCTCTCAGTTATAATTTCATTACTGGAGCCGTCATTCTTCTGATCATATAGCACAAGAAAAATAAAATTGAATCTGTTCAAAAAACACTGTAGTGCCTTCACCTAGAGGACTCACAGTTTCCTGTATATTGTCAAGAAATTACTTCATATACAAAAAAATCCAGGGTACATCTCTTCTCTTATCCCCACAGGCAAAACGCTGCAGCTCTCACCCAGCCATAAACTCCTGCTTCCTTAAGTACAGCATGTTTTTAATTCTGCTGTGTTCCTTGGGGTATATAGCTTATTGACCATGTCCTTATACACAGGAGAACCTTTGTCGACTTACAACTGGAACATTTATTGATATTGCAAGAGACCTTTTTTCTCCAGATTCTTCCTCAAAACAAGCCTCTTTCTTTGTATGGCTGTGCAATGATTATCCCTACACTCTTCCCAGGTTAATAAAATCCTAGGGCTAATTTGTGCGGCTCCTTAAGAACAGTGCCTCCACAGATATATGTGTCACTGTTTTTGGTGGGTCTATCACAGGCAGAGGGGGTGAACAGCAAACAGTGGCCAGGCTCGCAAATACATATTTTGAAACCTGCACAGAGTCATTTGGGTGGATAAAGAGATGTGACAAAGCCAGTGCTAGGAGCTGGGAAAGCTGCTGATTTGAACAGGGCCAGACACACTGGAAGGGGATGCTGGGAATATAAACCACATTGCCCACACTGCCTTCCACCTCTACCAGCACGGCTGCGGACAGCATGGCAGTTAACAAGCAATCACAGGGAAACCAGGCACGTCTCTGCATTTTTTGCAAACTGTTTTGTGCCCACAGAGTACTATAGGAATGGTGGGTCTGCAGTGGTGCTGAGTAACCTAAAAATGCTGTAGTAAAGGCAAAACTGTCTTAAGACAGCAAACCTTCTTAGCAAACAAATGGCCTAATCTTTAGGAAGTACCTTTGCCTAAATTAACTCTTTGGCAGTTTTTGTGTGCTTACAAAGGAATTTGTCAGGACTAAGCTAAGGTCTGTTTTCAGTTACAGAACTATTGCTCCTCCTTGCTATTGCTATCCTTACTATCGTGTTGGGCTCCGCCACAGAACGTCTGAGCTGATTCACAGTTGATTCTAGCAAAAAAAGAAATGTAGGACTTATTTTCACCAGCACATCTCAGTGATAAGTTCTTTTTCTTTTCATGAAAGTGAATTTTTTAATTTTTAGAAACTGTCTTAATTTACTAGCAAGTGACATAGATTTCACAGGAATATCCTTCAGGAAATGTAGTAAAGCTTGAAAAAGTAAAACAATTCTAATGTTCTTACCTTATCAACATAGTTTGCAATTTCTATGAGCCTCTGCTTAATTTTTTCTACGTCCTTGCCTTGTCTCTGAAACTTATAATATAAAAGATCAATATGCTAGCAGCACTAATACAGTAATATTCCCCCCCAACAGCTACCTTACTTTGCCAGCGCTGTCACTGATGTTTGGGGATTACAAAGGGCAACCAAAGGCCAACAGCAAAGTCCTGTTGACTTTCATGGGACTATCAATCAGCCTTACGCTATCTCAGTAGTGCCTCCCGCTGCTGCTTAGCCCTCATCAGGTAAGAAGCAGTACTTCTGAGAACCACAGTATTATTATCTGAAGCACATTATTTGCAGCATCGTGAAAACTAAACTGAGCTACCCGTTTCCCACCTGTACTTCCCGTATCTTTTTATTTTTATGTTTCTTACCTCACGATTATCTGCCACAATAACAAGCTCCACATATTTTGTCATCTTCAGCGTCTCCCTCTTGTACTGATAAAAGAGATGAAAATAGTATTTTGTTTTTGCAGTAAGTGACCCTTGGAATCAATCAGCTTTGCCTCCGTCCAAGAAAGACAGTGTTTGCAAAAGGAGATACACATCATCTCAGACTTCCAAAGGTTTCACTACATACAGTTTTTTATTGTTTTCCTTCTCCTCATGGCAGTCATCCTTTTATCTACCAGAACAGAAACAGATAATGTGGTGCTCATAAAACAACCAGGATTTGATCAGAGCAGGTAGAAAAGTGGTGCAAAGTCTCTCACAACCTTCCTGCTTTCTGCAGTGGAAATGTTTGGGTTATCCTTTCCTCCCAGGAGAATGTCATCTGTGGTAGAAAGACCTTTGTTCTTTTCAGGGTACATTTAGAGAAAGGATGATACAACCTTTAGCAAACATTCCACAAAACAGACAAACTGGCTGCTAAGAAAAATGAGTGCTAACGGTATACTGACTGAAGCAGGGGGGAGATCAATTGGGCAGCAGATAAATTATATAGGAAAAAAAACCCCAAAACAACTGCAGGAAAAAACAGAATGAACCGTTAGTGTCTAGGGAAGCAAACTAAAATGCTCTCAAGATGAAAGGCATACATTTAATCCTGCATCTGCATCTTCATATACAATAGTATGTCATGATACTTGCAGTTCTAAGTGCAGATCTAATCACAATGCTTATCTGCAAAAGATCACTAAAGAAAATGAAATGATTTTGTAATAGTACTAATCATACGACTGCTCCTCCGCTATCCTAAATTGAAGTGACCTATCAGTGTTTGCAAAGGTTCTCTGATTTATGCCAGCTGAGCATCTCTTCTATCATTTCTCCCTTGTTTCTAGAATAAGTCAGTTGGTGAAAAGAGCTCTCAGCAGTATATCTGACCTTCATGCCAGAACGTAAGGGTTTTAAGCAGACGTATGACCTATGAAGTAACTATGATGTCTTGAACTAAACTAACGCTCTATAACCTAAAACATGACCAAAGCTTTCCAATGCAAACTGTATGTGCCAAGGCAAACTGTGCAATCCCCAAGGCACTTTCCTAAGAAGCTAAGCCAGTACTGGACATCCCAGACAGACCTCCCAGCCAAGTTTCAGCAAGCCTCCCTCACATTATCGATGTGTGCCTCTTTGCTACCCGCTGATTCATAATTCAGCATGCTTCACATGAAGCACAACGTTCACAAAACAGGGACAAAGGTAGCCTTTCCCAACTCTAACTTTCAAATATTACAAATCTCCTATGTGGTAGTGTTATATAGCTTTGAAACTGAAAAATTAACTCAATTGGGACAGTATTTCTGAACTGAGAAAGCAGTAGAAGATATCATTAATGAACTAAACATCAATGATATAAACACTTTGTCAGATTACACTTATGACGAGGTCCGACAAATGAGCTCGTGGAGATATTCTCACAATTTCTTCCAGTATTAGGATTCTCCATTCTTCACCCTGAGGATCCAGCATGTTCCTTGCTGCTGCTTCTCTAAGAGCAGCAGGTGTAATAGAAAGGGCCTGCCACGTCTCTACTCCATCTGAGTCTCCTGTGGCTTTTCTGGCAGAGCTCGATTTACCTCTTTGCAAAATATATCGGACAAGTGGGACACCACATAAGGGAAGCCAAAAAACGGCCATGTGGGTTTTGCTTGTGACAGAATTGATTTCTCAAATACCGCAGTTCTAATACAGACCAGAAATCTGTTATGTGCTCCTCATCAGGGAAGTATCTCTAAGATGCCTCTAGTCTTCCTCCAGCTGAAGAGCAAAAGATCAGATATGATAACCCAGCAATGAAGATACAAGAAGAGCTCTGTTACATCAGTCAGCTTACACCTTTTACTTTTAACCAAAAGTAAATCTGTCTGGACTGCGGAGATTTAGCCTGAGAGAAATTGACTGGCATGGGATAATCATATGAGCCTCTGGTGACTGATTAGCATAACAAATCCATTCCTGTGATTTGCCCAAAGGCTATACATGTTCCTTGGATACAATATTTATTTATAAAATGTACTTAATTATCTCTTCTTTCAGCTTGCTTTCTGCAGCCAGTTGCATCACTGCACGGTCCATTTCCTGATTTAATCATTCAGAATTAAAACGGAGAGTCAATAACACAGCCATGACAGACGGACATGAATGGAAGACAAGATACTGCGTTCCATTCGCTGCTGTCTTTCTACCCCACTTCTGCCATGCCCTATCCTACTGCAAAACTGCTGCCTCGTACTACTGTGGCCCTTCCTCACGTTCCCTTGCTCGGGAAGCGGCACAGCTTGGGTTCCCAGTACAGTACTGCAGCCTCTCTCTTTCTCTATCATCCACTGACCACACACGACTGACCAGCCTAATCCGTAGCTCACTAGCACCGCTAAAAGGATCAAAATTCTTTTACGTGGCTACAGAACAATATTCTGTAGGGGCTGTCCTACACGCCAGACTTGCTTTCCATAGGATCCTCAACTGGAAGACACAGCTCATGCTGCAGTTTGAAGGTCCCCTGAAATTATCCAGTATTTATAGGGACATACTTCTAATGGGTCAAAAAGTGTCTGCACATATCTGCTATATTGTCTGGCTTGGCTGATTATACCTTGTGTTTGGATGTGGGAAGCTGAGAGAGTCTCTACTGTTTGTTCCATCAACTGTCTATACTTAAATCTGAACCAAAGGCTAGTTTAACTTTGTGATACGTTGATCCAGTGTTCCAGCTCAGCTCAGCAAGCACTGGGTGCAGCTGAGTGAAGGGTCAGAGAAAAAAGAAAAAGTTCCCAAAACCTGCCATGAAACCCAAAATAGTCACAGTGCACTAAAGCTAAGACTGGATTTCTGCTTACTTCCGTGACCCAATATAATTTGGAACAGGCTTGTTTTTCCATGTTTTGCAGGTCACCTATACTCAATGCGTCCTGACAGTCTATTTAGCTGATGAGAACAGTGACATGTGAAAATTCACTCTCCACATTACATTTGACAACTTGCAAAATTCATATATTAGAAATTTATCCAATATACTCATTATATATATTTTACCTATCTATATGATATGCATGTTGACAGGTGTTATAATTATGGCCACTGAGCCACAGTAAAAAAATATTGTTCAGATATGTAAGGTGAATTCTGACATGGAGTTGAAGCCATGAACAAAATGTTAGAAACTCGAGAGCAGCAGTAAAATTACTTTGATTATATCAGCTAGTTATGTGCACACTTTTTATTTCATTACCTAGTGTTAAACTGATTACATCAGCAAACTTCAGTTAAAAGTTACTAAATATTTTGGGATAGCCTTAGTAAAGATGTAGAAAGTACTTTTATATTCACATTAAATAGTCTCCTCTATTTGCAAATACAGCTTTCTAAGCTTTGGTATGATCTACAGAAACACTCTAGCACAGTGTAGAAGCCTATAAAGATATTTGAAGCTTCATTGTAAGGAAGCACATTTTGGTTAGCTGTGTTTGGTTACAGTTGTGTTTACAGAAGGATGGGCTGAAAGGTCATGGCTTTATTCTCATATTCCATATGTTTCCCAGAAAGAATTGAAAGCTCATGTCATCTATATGAAATATTGGGAAAAGTTAATAAGGAATATTTAGTCAGACAAAATAAATTTCTTCTCAGATTTACACCAGCACCTTCAACCTATAGACTTCAGGCATTTTCAGAAAAAAGTTTACGCCACAAAATAGCATATATATTATCTAATGAAATATTTATGGGGTAAAAAGAAATTTGGAGATGTACTGTCTAATATTCCTCCATTGCAAAATAATTTAATCCCACTACATAAATAATACCTAGTGGTGCCATTTAGTTTGCTTTCCATAACAATTATCTTGATGCAAAGGCTTAGAAGTATGTGTGACCATAAATCCTAACATGCCACATTTAATAAATTTTGGGGTCAGATTTGTACCATTGTATAATTTTTGAACACCTAAAACAGTCTTTTTTACAATCCCCATCCAATATGCACATTAATTTGTTAGTGTATTTCTTCTCCCTGCTCTGCAGCTCTTTTCATTTTCTCCTGTATCCATTAGCTAGATGCATTTTACTTTATGAGCATTTCTTCTTACATAAAAACAATTACAATAATAGATCTGTAGAATAAAATGGTGACAATTTGTTTTGCCTGCATAAAATAGTTTCCTACTAGAATTAAAGGTTCATTTAAGTTTCAAAACATATTATTAGCAAAGCATCATAGCTATCATGTTCTTTTCCATCTTGGGTGGGCAAGAACTATTCTAGACATAGCTCAGTGTTCTTATGGGGTCTTAAACTGTTGATATAATCATAACTGGAACACGAATCAAAATATATTACCATAATACGAGAATGCACTCTTTTCTGTGCCATCTCATTACCAGAAAGAGAGTAAAAAAAAAAGTTACATTAGCAAGACCAAGAAAAAGTACTAAAGCTATAGCAAATCCTGTGAGCATTTGCCTAACTTTAAGCATGTACTTTAGTATCTGACTTCAACAGAAGTGGCTATATGGTTTAATGGTTTGCTCAGCGGGGATATAAGAAACTCAAGGGCTGATGGAGAAAGCCAAGGCAGCAGGACTCAAACATGTAGGGAGCAGCCCATCTAACCCCTGAGCAGATCCCAACTGTCCTCTACGTGAAGGACAGCTGCACAAGCTACTCCCCTTCTCTAAGGCAGAACTCTTTCTTGGGAAACTTGTATTCTAGACCTATATAGCACAGAAGGAATGATAACCACTTAAAAAACTGTTTGTCTTTGTGAAAGGTAAGGAGTAGCTCTTGAGGTTGGAACAAAGTTATGGCTGACAATAATATGGAAGTGCAACCAGAAAGGTGCTCAGCAAACCAGGAACATAAAACTGCATCATTCACCTACCCTGCCAGCATATGCTTGAGAATGGTGTGATGTGTCATCAGCCCTCATGGCAGAAAGGTCCAAATGGTGGCCACAAGATCCTGGGGCAGTTTTCAAGTTCTCCGATCGGTAGATCTTGTGTTCACCTGCAGCACCTTCTAATGGCTCCAGAATGTAGCTTTTGTTTTCAAAAACGATAATTCCCCTGTTACATAAGAGAGCAGAGTAAGATGCATGGCTTTCAAGTGCTAATGTATGTTTGTTTTCAAAAAAGTTACAACAGGTTTTAATAATGACAGAGAACGAAAAAGCAAAACGCTGATTTGCAGTGCCACGCCCGGGTAGAACAGGAGACATCAAAGCGGTATATTTGTCATTGCAGCACACTATACTTTACAAGAAGCAATGGTTCAAAGAAAATTTTCCTCTTCTGAAGTGCTGTGCTGTAGAGCAAAATTACATTTGTGTTTTATGTGTTTTCCATTCCCCCAGTGATGCATTGCCACTGCCGAGTGGAGTCACAATGCATGTGCTTCTGAGGACCCGTGGTAAACGGTAAGCAACAGAAATGTGGTGAAATGCTGTTATAAGAAAAGATACAGAGTGAAAGTATGCGTTATGTTCTGTAGTGTGCATTATACCTTTTAAGCCAAACGCTGATGCAAGCAACAAATTTGCCAGAAGAAAGATACATTGCAGTAGCTAAATGGATTATTAAACATTGTACAGTCGGGCGCTAAAATGAAGCTCAGATATATTAACCAACGGATTCCTGTTTAACACATTTTACTCCCAAGAATAATTATTTTTATTGCAATACCATCTGCCATCTGAGGATCTCAAAGATTTTCCATTAATGAAATAACTCTTCTTGCATTACTGTCAGCTAAGTATGTAAAAAGGAAATAAGGGTTTAGAAAGACATACAACAACTTGCACCAAGAAACCTGTGGAAGAACCTATTCACATAATCAATTCTGGACTTCATGTGCTGCCTCCTAATCAAAAACCACTCTCACTGTACACTGCTGACAACTCCCCAAGTAAAAAGTTGTGTGCTCGGATTCCTGTGCTGGGTCCTGCCCAGATACCCTGAGCTGCTACAGTACAACAAAACTGACAAAAGAGTGATCTGCTTCAGGTTCCTCTTGCTGAAGCAGGGTGCTGGCACAAGGCTGCGGAGATGCTCCTCCAGCTCAGCACAAGGCCTGTGAGCAGCGTGGCACAGGTCCCTGTGATCTGCATGCACTGCAATAGGATGTCTGGAACTATCTGGCACTGAGTAGGCCAATCTCCAACAATGCCGGCTGAACTAGCAATCATAACTGCAACTGCAGGAAGGACCACAGAATAAAAAGACTACGGGGCTTAACATCAAGACTGGCATACCATTAGAAGGCATGTTTAAAGCCAGGCCTCACGTAGAAATTACAGTAAGAAGCAGGAATTTAATATTTTGTGTCTAACTCACAAGAGTCTAACTTATATCCTGAGCACATAACGATAATCAAGCAGGAGAGTGCCAGATAGGTACTGCATCACACTGGAGATTAGGTTTTGCTTGCTAACAGTGTAATCAAAGAAAGGCATCCTTTAAAACCCATTTCTCTTTTGTAAACTATGGATAAACATTTACCTACAGGGGTGTTCCAAGTATTCATCAGTTAAAACTGCACCGCATTACTGATTTTTTACACATCTTTAAATTATGTGGGCATGAATCCCTAAGCACCGGTAAAGTTTCAGCAGTAATAACATGCTCCTAAAATTCCTGTGGAACTTGTAATTGGCCAAGACATTCTTCCTCAATTCCTCCATTAATCTGCTCTTTACTGCCTATATATGCTATTAACAGCTATCGTTTTCAGCCTAAACCACGCTACATTTCATTAGTGTGTCTTTTTGGTGTATAGGAAGTGTCTGCTGTTTTTTATTTTTCGTCTGTACTGCAACAAAGATGAGCTACTACAACCACTGTGAGATCAGCACGTGTCTCGAGAGTCTCTATAAAATACCTCTGCAGAATGCTTTAAAAAAATGGAGACCCAGCAGCAGGTTAATGACACCATAAATGCTGATCTTTGGCCCCCTAACCAATGGACTGAAATTTTGGTTCCAAGTCACAGTTTTGCTACAACATATAGTTAACTTCCATTCAGCCAAGCCAACAAACAACCATTTTTTTGTTAACTGTAATAGCTAGAACATATTAAAAAGGCCATGCAATAGCATTCACAGAACCATCACAAGTGAAGGGAGCATAATTTACTGATTGAACATTAAATATGTCATAGATGGAAAAAAAGTACTAAATTACCACAGCAACCCTTTTACCTATAGCTAAGACATTACAGCCTGAACGACATGGTAGAGACCTCCAAGCAAGTTGCCCCATGATCTGAGTAACCTGACATCACACGGCTCCAAGAAATTAGGTTAGATCTACTTCGTTCCTTTAAGAATTTAGGAAACTAGGACAGCATATTCCCTTTACTCCGATAACCAGCAACTCCGTAATCAGCATAATTAAATAAAGGTTGTCATCTTTCCCTTGTGCAATTCATCACTGAATTTCGGAGGCTGTCGGAGTCAGTGATGGAGGCAGAACTCTGTTAGTCACTGTTTGAGATAAGCCAGCCTGACCATCTCTCCCTTTACTGACAACTCTAAAATAGCATAAAACAAATAAGGGTTTTTTTCCCCTTAATGTTAAACTTTACCCTGCTTAGATCATTCACTTTAAAAAAATTATGCTTATATCATTTTCATTAACTATTTACACTAAGAAGGGAGGAACTTAATAGTATCTCATTGCCGGGTAAAGCGCTCTCTCTCTTTTTTTTTTTTTTTTTGGTGCCAAGAATTCATAGCAGAAACATGCAACATCAGTGCCAGGTTTCCAAGTGCACACCTTGTATACCCAACCACTGCCTAAAGTCACTAACTAGTTCTTTTCTCCCCATTTTCCTTAGCTGGAGAGGATTTGGGCAAATGAGCAGATCACCAAAGTGATTGATTTTATTTTCTACTGAGCACAACAGAACCAGGGACAGTTGATTCAGCTTGTCACTGAAATTCCCATCTCCGCTGACAGTACGAACCTTTAAGAACAGTTCCACCTTTGCATATGAAGCAATCCCATGGCCAAAAAATCTGCAGTTTCAACATAAGGAAAATATACATTTCATTTAATGCATCCTTATCCGTTGAGTACTGCCTACAGGATATCAGCACCTGGCTCATGACCATCTGTAATAAGATAATGAATATCAAATATGAATTATCTTGGCCCACTCTCTGTTTCTGACTAATTTTTTCTTTTCCTGCAATTGCATTTTTCCCCGTTGATTAGTGCCAAACACAGCACCCTAAAAATATGGCTAGTCAAAAACTATGGTTTCTTTCTTTTTTGGCGTGGCAGGATAAAATTAACAATACCTACCAGTCTTTCAGTCCTCAGAATTTGATACAAATAAAATAAATCCGTAATTACTTTTTTTCCTTCCGCATTTCTGTCAGGCTTTTCAAAACAGGCTCTGTTACTCCTACACTGCTTCTGCACCTCCTCTTGAAGATGGTTCTCCCATACTTCGGTGTCAGCACGTGCTCCCAGAAGATGAAACATCTTCTCCAGGCAGTTCCTGTCCCCTGCAGGCCCCTGCTCCCAAAATCCTTCTATTTATGCCCAGTGGTGGGGACTGACCCTCGCTCCATTCCCAGAGTGGTTCCACGCTATAATCCTACTTCCACCACCACCAGGAACGAGATGAGACAATTCAACTCCTACCTAAAATAAGCAAGTCCTCCTCTTCATCAACAGTGGCAGAGAGGGAGAAAAATAAAATTATACTATACAGCATGTCGAGACATCAGCTCACAGGCTCAGTGCCAACTAGGAGCTGCTTTAGTGTGGTCTTGAGCCCGCGCTAATATTTTACTCCACCTTGTAGCAGGGTTTGAACCCTGCTTGTGTCTGGTGCTCAGTACCAAATAAACCACACCCACATTGCTCCTAATCAACGCTAAGCACGAGCGGCAGCTCGCTGGTATTTGTCTACTATAGGCCATATGGACACACAGGGAACCTGCTGATGGGATGGGCTGTGGTGGGAGCTCTGCCTCCCACCTCAAAGAAAAAGAACTTAAAATCTAACTTAAAATAATTAATTTGTTACTAATTGCTGCTTAATTTGCCAGGAATCTCTCACCTGGGAAAATGCAATTAGATGGAACAGCTCTGCTACTTAAGTCCATGATAAAGTCAAATGGGGTATTTTTTCCTTCAAGAAGAAAAGAAAAAACAAAACAAAGCACAACCTAATGCAAGGCCAGTTGAATTTCATAAATCAACCAGCTTTAGGAAATCTCAAAATATAAATGGGATTTTTCTTTTCCAACTTGTCAGCAGAAGCAAAGGCCCTGCCAACATAAACCATCAATGCATACTTGTCTGAGAAATTGTGACGCTGAAGTAAAACTTGGCTAGGACAGCAGTATATGAAACTGTGATATATTATTCTGCTGTACTGTAAGGGGAAAGTTAAGTAAATCAATAAATCTGATATCCATGAATGCAATTAAACATTTGGTTTTAATGAAGCTCAAAGCTATATTCATTTCTTAATAATAATAACAAAAAGCCCTATTACAATTGGAAGAAGAATGTAGATGTCTTTAGTTTGTAAGCAACTAATTACAGCAGAGGGCTGTCACACTTGCACACTGCATATTCACATTGAGTCTGTCTCTGTCAAGAGACACAGCAGTTCATGCCATATTTATGTGCTACTTAAAAATCTACAGGATTCATGAAGTACCTAGCCCTTGTGCCATGATGCAAAGCAGGTGTGTGAGTGTAGAGAGCCACACAACATGCATTTGCAAATGCCCATATGAGTGGGCCAATGTGGAAGATCACTCAAGTGATGAGCGTGCAATGAAGGCTGTCTGGGATAGCGAAGACATGTAGCATTTGTGGAAGACTAATCTAAGAGCGTGTCACTTCTCCACATACAAGGTACAATCGCACAGCTATACCACTGATTTCCATGAGGCTTTTGGCTGAATAGATAACAGAATTTCAACAAGGTGGCCCCAGAGTATTGTTATCCTGGTGCCTGTAATGGAGTTATAGCAGTTACTCAGTGTTGTGCTTCTCAACACCTCTGATATGAGAAGGTGACCTGTAAAGTGATAAGGCTTTTT